CTTGAACCTGGGGAGACAGAGGTTGCAGTGAGCCAGATTGGCACACTGCACCTCCCAGCTGGTTCAAGTTGAGACTCTGTTCTGTCTCACAAAGAAGAAAAAAAAGGAGATGTTTTCAGTATATATTAAAATATATTTGTATCTCGAAGTAAATAAGCTCGGAATAATCTTTACGCTAACTGGATGAACCCAGGGTAGGTAGGTGGATCTTTGTCAACTTCCAATGGACTTATTAAGGCTCCAGAAAAATTATTAGGGGCGTGGTGGAAATACTTAGAGTTGAACCAACTGAACTAGCATATTAAGAAAGCTATTTCTATTCAGAATTGACAAAAAATATAAAACTCTTTGGTCATGAAATAGAATGACCTGTGGTCATAAATGGAGTGTTATTTAAAACTAGTAAGATGTGTGACTACTCGCACATATACAATGGCGTATTAACTGAGTTAAGTGATATGGCATTATCTTGACTAATCCATTGTTGCCTTCAAACTTACATTTTTACAAATTTTATTTTGTAGTCAGCAAGTTTTCCATTTGTCTGCTTGGATGTGAAAGATGCTATTTAAAACCAAACAGCAACTGTACAAGACTGGCTGAACATTTATAATTAAACAATTACATAACCTCCAAAATACAGCAGAATATGAGCCACATAATTAAGGATGTCAGCTAACCAAGACAGTGAATTCAAGAAGGATGTCATTTTGTGGCATGTGCTCAGCTGAGCTTTAAGTCAGACTGCTGGATGGAAATGTAATCTTTCTACCTTTGTTTATATACAGTAATACCAGCTGCTGTCAGGACAACTCATGCAGTCAGGACAGCTAACTTTTTTAAAAAGAAGAAAATTATAAACATATTTTGTGAATGTTTACTAATCTCTGATTTGCTTTTCTTGGCACTCATAACTTCTACCCTTCAAAACTGAGATTCAAGTGATTCAAATTCCAGTTACCTCTAAGTTATATTCTGTTAACAACCATCTTGTATAAATTGGTTTCATAAATAAAAACTGCTCTTAAATGATTCTGTCAGTGGATGTCTATCCACAAGCTTTCCAGCCTGGTCTGCTCTATGTGTGTACATCCTGAAAAGTTGCCAAAATAGCAGCAACAACTGATGATATCATAGGGAAAAAACTCACTGCCACGGGAAACCAAGCATTGTTGAGTCAACTTCTTTTTGGTCGCTTGTTTTATACTTGCTAGATAAGCCAAAAGACCTGTTTGTTACACAAATGTGCATGCATCCATGTATTAGTCCATTCTCACACTGCTAAAGAAACACCCGAGACTGGGTAATTGTAAAAGAGGTTTAACTGACTCACAGTTCCACGTGGCTGGGAAGGCCTCAGGAAACTTACAATCATGGTGAAAGGCACCTCTTCACAGAGTGGCAAGAGTGAGAATGAGAGCCAGTAGGGGAAATGCCAGACGCTTACAAAACCATCAGATCTCATGAGAAGTCACTATCATGAGAATAGCATGGGGGTAACCACCCCCCATGATTCAATTACCTCCCACAACACCTGGGGATTATGAGGATTAAAATTCAAGATGCGACTTGGGTGGGGATACAGCCAAACCATATCAATCCATATATGGTTGAAATTTAAATCAGACAATAGTAAATATCTACGTTCAAAGTCCATCCATGCTTTGAGATTCTGAGCTATTTTCTGATATGGAAAAGAGATTTAGCATCTCCATCTCCATTGGATGTATGCTGCCTCCTGTGATGATCAAGGAATGCAATGGTTCTCCCAAGTCCACAGTACACATTTGCTGTAAAGTGCCTGCTGCAATTTTCTGGTCGTCTGCTCCAACCCTGGCTAAGCCAACACAAAGTGTCTCCTCGGTGATTGCTATTAAAAAAAAAAAAAAAAAAGATACTGCCATTCAATTCAGCAAATGCATCATCCTGTCCAACAATCAAACAAACATCAGTACCACAAGTACATTTCAAGAAGCCCCAAATATCTTAAATCTCTTTTGCCACTTATGGACCAGTTATCCATTAATTCATCCAAGGTATTTTCTAAATCATTTGTATTACCTAATATTATAAAAGAGTACTTTCAAATTTTACCCTTTTCAGAATTCCAAAGGCTTACATTAAGCTTTTAGGACTTGACAGGCTATACTTATACTCTACAATTGCATAGCATTTGTTTTAAAATAAGTTCTGAGTAAACAATGTTTATTACACACTTATGTTTTTAATAACTTACTTATGTTCATATTGACCTAGCTATACTGAAGAAACCATGAGATTATGAAATAAATTCACAGATTTGAGTTTCTCTCTTGCCAATGTGATAAACTTCAGTTTTCTGTTTTTAAAATGTAATACTCTCTCTTTTAAATCATGGTAATGAGAGCTAAGATAGTAGATACGAGACTAGTAGATTATAGATTCCTTAACAAATAATGAGCATTTGGCATGATTTATGTCTTTAAGTTCAAAAGAGCCAGCCTTAATGAGCTTTAGTATTATTGACTCTGGTGCTACTGCTGAAGAGCTGACCCTTTAATGGTTGTATTGTTTAATTGGGAAAGGGGTCTTGATTGAACAATGATCAAAAGGGGGCAAATGATTTATCCAAGGACAAACTGGAATGCAAGCAACCTCTGTACAAAGTTATGGATATAGAACAGCCTTGCAGACTATTTGTTTCACGACTGTAACATGGCCTACTAATGAGAATAAAATAAGCAACAATCACTCAAGAATCTCTTGACCAGGTGCAGTGACTCGCACCTGTAATCCCAACATTTTGGGAGGCTGAGGTGGGCGGATCACTTGAGCTCAGGAGTTCGAGACCAGCTGGGCAACATGGTGAAACCCCATCTCCACCAAAAATACAAAAAAATTAGCCGGGCGTGGTGGCATGCACCTGTAGTCCCAGCTACTCAAGTGGCTGAGGTGGGAGAATGGCTTGAGCCCGGGAGGCAGAGGTTGCAGTGAGCCATGATTGCACCACTGCACTGTAACCTAGGCAACAAAGCAAGACCCCATCTCAAGAAAAAAAAAAGATCATAGTGGGTCGGGCGCAGTGGTTCACACCTGTAATCCCAACACTTTGGGAGGCTTTGGGAGGCCGAGGTGGGAGGATCGCTTGAGCCGAGGAGTTCCAGAACAGCCTGGGCAATATGGTGAAACTCTGTTTCTACCAAAAACACACAAAGAAATTAGCCAGACATGGTGGCATGCACCTGTAGTCCAGCTAAGGTGGGAGGATCACTTGAGCCCAGGAGGTGGAGGCTGCAGTGAGCTGAGATCGCGCCTCTGCACTCCAGCCTGGGTGACAAAGTGAGACCCTGTCTCAAAAAAAAAAAAAAAAAAAGAGAACCTCCCATAAAGATTTACTGACAATAAACATTATTATTATACACCACACACTGTGTCTACATATTAGGAATATAATAACAAATTTTCTCATATTTACCCTGAAGAAAACTATTCCTAGTCTCAGTGTTAAGAATGAAAAGAGGGAAAATAAAAGTAGGATAAGTATATTTTTGCAGGACAGATCTCACCATTGATTAGGGATAACATGATAGATACATTTTACAAAAATATTTATATTCTAATATATTTATATCAAATGTGACTGATGTTTAATTTGTGAAAAATCCTCACGTTCTGGAACGGTGTTAATTACACTATAAAAGAATGCCAATTTTTTTTTCTTACAGTACAACTTGAAGCCTATGGAATTAAAGTTGGACAAAAATGACAAGAAATAGTACAATACGAAAACACTGACTCTTGCTTCCACAGTGGTATGAGTCAATATTAAGTCATATACACATCTAAATGCAGCAACAGAGGAATAATGTGAGAGCCCTTCTAGGGTCTTGAGTACCTGGTTCTTCTCCTCGTATTCTTTGATTTTGAATAATCTCCAGAAGCTGCTGGGCTGCTTGGTTTACACTCATATACCGTGGAGGTTCATAGATCTTCCTTCCCCTATAGGTAGAAAACTAGATGCCACTGTTCTTAGCCATTAAACTACATAATACATTATTAATGCAATTACTCTCCCAGGTATACTCAAGTACCACAGTCTACATTCTGTTTGATGTTTTTTACATATACTCACTTTAAGCATACACAAAAGCATGATGATTGTTCATTTCTTAAGCTTTTTCATTGTTCTACTTCAACTTTCCTCTCATCTCACTGAAATGATGGCAGGAACACATAAAGATAGATGTCTAAATGAAAGTTATCTTTATTCAAAGTGATACCTTTGGCAAAAACAATTCAAAATAAGTGGCAATTTGGTCTATACTCTAGCTTAATCAGGTTTAGTGTCCTTTTTATGGCCATTTTTAAACCACATTTCTTCTTTTCACTGTTTCCTCTAAGAAAAGTAAACTAAAGCATCTTGGATGCTTAAAAGTCTCAAGTGATGTTTATTTCTGTATGCCTCAAAAGCCTATCAGGCTTGCCGAATTATCATATTAATAAAAATATAGCTATTGCAGGTCACGTGTGGTGGCTCATGCCTGTAATCCCAGCATTTTTTTTTTTTTAAATCCCAGCTTTTTGGGAGGCCGAGGCGGGTGGGTCACAAGGTCAGGAGTTCGATACCAGCCTGACCCACATGGTGAAACTCCATCTCTACTAAAAATAAAAAAATTAGCTGGGCTTGGTGGCGCATGCCTGTAATCCCAGCTACTCAGAAGACTGAGGCAGGAGAATCAATTGAATCCGGGAGATGGAGGTTTCAGTGAGCTGAAATCACAGCACTGCACTCCAGCCTGGGCGACAAAGTGAGATTCTGTCGCAAAAAAAAAAAAAAAAAAACATATATATACACACACACACATATATACATATATATATAGCTATTGTGGTTTATAATACATTTCATATAGATTATTTTAATGACTTTCAAAACAATTCTCTAAGTCAATGCTATCCAATAGAAATATAAATGAAGCCACATATATAATCAAGTTTTCTGTAGCCATATTAAAAAAAAGTTTGTAAAAAGGCAATTTTTTTTTTTTGAGACAGTCTCACTGTGTTGCCCAGGCTGCAGTGCAGTAGTGTGATCTCGGTTCACTGCAACCTCTGCCTCCTGGGTTCAAGCAACTCTCTGCCTCAGCCTCCCAAGTAGGTGGGATTACAGGTGCGCACCACCATGCCTGGCTAATTTTTTTTTGTATTTTTAGTAGAGACGGGGTTTCACCATCTTGGCCAGGCTGATCTCGAACTCCTGACCTCGTGATCCACCTGCCTCGGCCTCCCAAAGGGCTGGGATTATAGGCGTGAGCCACCACGCCCAACCAAAAAAGACAAAAATTTCAATAATATATTTTATTTAATCCAAAATGTTGTAATTTAACACCTACTCATATAAAAATTATTAAAGAGATTTTTTTATATTAAGTCTTTGAAATCTGGTATGTACTTATAGCACATCTTAATTTGGATATTAAATTTTCACTGGAAATAGTTGATCTGTATTTAAATTTCATAAAATTTATAGTTGTAAAAGTAGATTTATATACTAAAGCTGTTTCAAACATACTTAAAAGTTTTCCAACAACAAGAGTATCATTTTTCAATTAATTAAAATTAAATGAAAAATTCAATTCCTCAGTCACATTAACCACATTTCAAATGCTCCTTAGTCACAAGTGGGTAGTGGGTACTGTATTAGACACTGCCTCTCTAAGTAAAAAAGGATTAGTACTATCATTATATATTTGAAGAAAATAAGGCTCAGAGATGGAAGTAACTTGCCCAAGAGCACTCAAGTAGAGGCAGACTCAGGACTCAAACCCATGTCTTTTTTTTTTTTTTTTTTCTCACTCTGTTACCCAGGCTGGACCACAGTGGCGTGATCTCAGCTCACTGCAACCTCTGCCTCCCAGATTCAAGCGATTCTCATGCCTCAGCCTCCCAAGTAGCTGAGACTAAAGGCACGTGCCACCACGCCGAGCTAATTTTTTCCTTTTTAGTAGAGATGGGGTTTCACCATGTTGGCCAGGCTGGTCTTGAACTCCTGGCCTCGAACAATCCACCTGCCTCAGCCTCCCAAAGTGCTGGGACTACAGGCGTGAACCATCGCCCAGTCTCACACCCATGTTTTCAGAATCCCAATGCATTAATTCATTCCACAAGCACTGAGTGTCTGTTAGATGCTAACCACTGTTCTCAGTGTTTAATCTACAAGATATATTGCTATTTCTACTCTATTATACTGCTTATCATTTCATAAGAATAAAAATGTTTAACGTTCACACTGTTAATGAGAGCTCATTTTCAACCATCTTTAGAACTCAGGTCATTTAAGTAGAATTTATTGAATTTGGTTCAAGGAAATAAAACAGATGTATGCATTCTCAGAATAATAACTTACTTGATTAGATTTTCCAAAGACTGCTCCTTTACTTTGATGTCTGTAGGAAGTAAAAATAGTTCTTTTAATTTAATTAAAAACTTTATCCAAAACCCTATGTGTAAACCTCAGTTAAGAGTCACCTAAATTTTGGGGAAACATTCTTCCCTCACACTTTAATTAGCCACTTTGTTACAGTAACATAGAGAAGAATGGAAGCTTGTGGTTGTGCCACTAGTTAGAAAACAAACATGAGCTTGGCCCTGAGACCATCCTGCTAACATCTAATTTCCTTTTGGAAAAGAAGACAAAGGAAAGAATTAGATAAACATTGGCAAATACACTACTAACAGCTAATCACAATCTTTGTTTTCATTTCTGCCAGCTAATAACTGCACAGACCCAACTGAAAGGCCTTCGATAGATATAAGTAGAAAAAAAATCTTTTCCATATTTAAAAAAGTCTTTCGCTTTCTTATGAATGTTAACACATGCCATAATTTTGAATAAATACTTTAATTCTAAGTATTCATGCTTTTAACAGGGATTTGAGCACCAACTGTGTGTCAGACACTATGCCAGAGACTGGGAGACCACAGGGACCTGACCAGATATAACCTCTGATCTCAAAAAGCTTGACAGTCCAAGCATCACAAATATTTGATTCGGTATACTTTTTAATCACTAATGCTTAACTGAACTATTTGGTAAAGGTAAAAAAGCAGAATCACTCTACATCCTCAAAGGAACTCAGTATACAACAGCAACAGCTGCTTCCTGCTTTACATGCTGAAAACAAATGGTTCAGCCAAAGTTTGTTTTTGCAAAAATAAACATAGTGCAACTGAGGAGTCTTTAATAGCCTTATGCAGATTTCCTAAGTGATTATAGAAGTGTTTCTTATAAAGAATATCCAAGAGTTTGCTTGGAAATTATAGCAGAGTTAATATTAAATACATATTTTTAAATGTTCTTGGAACCAGCACTGAAAGCCTTTTTCAGGTTTGAAATATATTTCTACTTGTCTGTCACATTATGGAGAAAAAAGTGAATGTCTGTTATTAAGAATGTGGCCTCCCTATAATCAATGGTGTAAGTCAACTTTTAGATTTCCATTAAATTATGTTTGTAAGATTTTAAAAATTTTAACCCATTTATTAATTCATTCACTTTGAGCTTCTGAAATGTTGTGATAATGAGATTTTTCATATTTTCAGTTTTCTTTACTTTTCAAATATGCTCTATAAAATCTGATTTTTAAAGTGAAGAGGGTTGAGGAGAATTTTTACAGGTAAATCCTTTTTAATCAAGGAATGCATTCGTGACTTCGTCTCAGGCCAGACCCCGTGTTACTTTTCCCTTGTCTTCAAACAGTCCATAATTTTTCTTCTCTATTTCTGCTTGCTAGAATGTAAGCGTCTCTGATTCATCTTAGTACCAGGACCTAGCATAATGTGAAGTACCCAGAAGACACTCCATAAATGTTTACTGAATAAATTTACTCATGTGGCTGTCCCACCACTCAGTCACCAACCCATCTTAAACCATCCGCCTTCTGGACAACCTAAGTCTAACTCTTTCATAAAGTCTTTGTTGACATCTCCTCAAATGCTTTTTGTTCTTGGAAAGATCTATACAATTAATGCTATCTTTTATTAACCTCTAATTATATCATATATATTGGTCTTCTCTTTCTAAGTAAATTTTAAATTCTGTGTTTTCCTACCATGATTTACCCACACTAATCCCTACAGAACTTAACCCACAGCAAGCATTCAATAAATACATACTAATTTAAATAATGAGAATGCCAGACGATAAAACGATAAGAACTATGGTTTGAGGATTTGAAATCATGACATCCTATACTTCACAGCCTGTTCCTGCTTTTGTTAATGGAGCAAGGAAGATATATTGTTTAACCTTGTTTGTCTTTTCCCAGGAAAGCTAAGAAAAGTGGCAGCTCTTAGAAAGAGAACTCAAGAGCCAAATTTCTGGTTTGTCCTTCCTGCCTCTCCATACAATAGAACTTACTTGTTCTTTAAACTTTCACATGCACAACACATTAGTTCCAAACTAGATTTCAAAGCTTTGAGAGCAGGACCCACGTCTATACTTTCTTGGTATTCCAAAAGAAACTAACTCTACATGGGGCATAGGGTAAGCACTCAATAAACACCTATACACTGATCTTCTATTTGCCTTTCCAAAGCTTCTGAAAAGATAAGCACTGTTTGCTCTCCTTCCTGTCCCTTTTTTTTTTTTTTTTTTTTTTTTTTTTTTTTGAGACGGAGTCTCGCTCTGTCGCCCAGGCTGGAGTGCAGTGGCGCAATCTCGGCTCACTGCAAGCTCCGCCTCCCGGGTTTACGCCATTCTCCTGCCTCAGCCTCCAGAGTAGCTGGGACTACAGGCGCCCGCCACCACGCCCAGCTAATTTTTTTATATTTTTAGTAGACACGGGGTTTCACCGTGTTAGCCAGGATGGTCTCCATCTCCTGACCTTGCCTGCCTCGGCCTCCCAAAGTGCTGGGATTACATGCGTGAGCTTCTGTGCCCAGCCTTTCCTGTCATTTTTAATGGCTATAAGGGGAGGTTATCAGGTAGCCTGCCTCTCAGATTCTTCCTTCCCTGTTCTGTTTTAGAACCTTTCAGTACTGTTGTAAAACACACATTCTAGTATCTGAGCTCCAATGAATCCCCATTTTTCATCCCTCAGATACATCTTCTTCAGCAAAAGTCCTTTCAAAAATTATCCTTCACCTGTCATCTACTTTGACCTTCTACCCACAGCTGATCTTAACTGGATCGAACTTTGGGATAACAAGATAGATATATCTGATAGCATGGTCCACACCAACTCATAAGTCTTACAGTATCCTTTTTAGTAAGGACTATAAAAAAGTAAGACCAGTCTCTTTTTACATGGAAAATTCAAGGACAAAATTATAAAGCTAATTAATGATGAATGAAGCACTAAATCACACTGGCAATAAACTAAAATAAGAAAACGTCATACTAGCTGATTGCGAATATTGGCATAAGACAAAAGAAAATGTGTTAGAGAAGAGTTTATGGCCTAATCTAGATCTATAATTAATTAGATATCAAGAATAAAGGGAGGCCAGGTGCAGTGGCTCAAGCCTGTCATCCCAGCACTTTGGGAGGTCAAGATGGGCAGATCACTTGAGGCCAGGGGTTTGAGACCAGCCTGGTTAACATGGCAAAATCCCATCTCTACTAAAAACAAAACAATTAACCAAGCATGGTGGCACACTTCTGTAATCCCAGTCTCAGGAGGCTGAGGCAGGAGAATCACTTGAACCTGGTAGGCAGAGATTGCAGTGAGCTGAGACTGCACCACTGCACTCCAGCCTGGATGACAGGGTAAACCTTATCTAAAAAAAAAAAAAAGAGAGAAAAATGGAATTAAAAGGAGTGTATTCTGGCTGGAATTGATTGAACTAGCAAGAGTTAAAAGATTTTCTGTGCCAATGGGTAATAAGACCAAGTCTGAGAATATAGACTAAATAAAACTTCAGTTAATTTCCATAAATATTTATTTAATGCCTACACTGTGCTAGACTTCCAGACATTAGTAAGAGAATAATGAGCAAGATAAAGTCTCTGCTCTTACGACGCAGTGAAGAAATCAAGTTAATAAGGTAATTCATATGGCTGGTAAGACTATGAAAAAAGTAGCGTAAGGTTATAACACATCACTGAAGGGATTCAGGGTGCAGAACATGAGATTAGATAAAATTTCACTCAAGATCAGGAGTCAGCAAATGTCTGAAAAGGGGCAGACACATTTTAGGTTTTGAGGACCATATGGTCTCTGTCACAACTACCCATCACTGCTGTTGTGGCATGAAAGTGGCCATAGATAATATATAAATGAAGGTGCATGGCCATGTTCCAATAAATCCTTATTTACAAAACAAACAGCAGGCCAGATGTGATCCATGGGTCCTTGTTTGCTAATCCCCGCTCTAGATATTAATTTCTATCCTAAGAAATGCCAATCATTAGTAAAAATGTATAATAATATTTTCTATTAAGACACATGGCCAGGCACTGTGGTTCACTCCTCTAAGCCCAACACTTTGCGGGGCCAAGGTGGGTGGATCGCTTGAGCCCAGAAATTCGAGACCAGCCTGGGCAACATGGCGAAACCTCATCTTTACAAAAAATACAAAAATTAGCTAGGTGTGGTGGCATGTGCCTGTGGTCCCATACCTAGAAGGCTGAGGTGGGAGGATCACTTGGGTAATGGGAGGTTGAGACTGCAGTGTGATGAGATTGTGACACTGCACTCCAGCCTGGGAGACAGAGCAAGACCTTGTCTCTTAAAAAACGAACAAACAAACAAAAAACTTACTGTGTTGCTTAAAATTAAATATTGTTAAATAATAGAGAATTGGTTATATTATGCAAATAGCTTAAAAATTTTTGGCAAACAGGCCGGGCGCGGTGGCTCACACCTGTATTCCCAGCACTTTGAGGGGCAGAGGCGGGCAGATCATGAGGTCAGGAGTTTGAGACTAGCCTGGCCAATATGGCAAAACCCCATCTTTACTAAAAATACAAAAATTAGCTGGGTGTGGTGGCAGGCACCTGTAATCCCAGTTACTCGGAAAGGCTGAAGCAGGAGAATCGCTTGAACCCGAGAGGCGGAGGTAGCAGTGAGCCAAGATCGCGCCACTGCAATCCAGCCTGGGTGACAAGAGCAAGGCTCCATCTCAAAAAAAAAAAAAAAAAAATAGGCCGGGTGCAGTGGCTCATGCCTGTAATCCCAGCACTTCGGGAGGCTGAGGTGGGTGGATCACGAGCTCAGGAGATGGAGACCACCCTGGCTAACACAGTGAAACCCTGTCTCTACTAAAAAACTACAAAAAATTAGCCGGGTGTGGTGGCGGGCACCTGTAGTCCTAGCTACCCAGGGAGCCAAGGCAGGAGAATCACTTGAACCCGGGAGCCAGAGGTTGCAGTGAGCCGAGATTGCGCCACTGCACTCCAGCCTGGGCAACAGAGTGAGACTCTGTCTAAAAAAAAAAAAAAAAAAAAAAAGTGGCAAACAGAAATCTTTTCTAATGTTCTGAATATCTGTATTTAATATACAGAGGCCAAAATCGTGGGTTTATCTGCCCTGATGTTGTGCTATGTGATAGACATTTTGGTGAGTGACTTCACACAGTTTCACTAAGACAGTACAATTCAAAGTATGATCTCAGGACCAATGCCAGTATGTGAGCTTTGTGTTACCAGTAAATGATGAAGTAACTACAGGAGTAAGAATATGTACAAAATTTATGGTAACTTGACACTGACATAAAAGATTGAAAATTTAAAAATCAAACATATGTTTTAAACAACCCAACCATGGTTCTTTACCACAAATAGTTTGAGAAGTACTGCTCTATACAACTCCATGAAGGAGGAGGAATTATTCCTATTTGATAAATATGAAGGCTAAGGAATGTTTACAGTATTCTCTAGCTAGTAAGTAGTAGCACTGGGATTTTGTCTTCTGATTCCAAGTAGAAGTATCATTTCAAAGTTATCAAAAATGTCAGTTAGCTGTGTTCTGTTCAGTCACAGATTAAGTCTTTGATACCAGTATTTCTTTCTACAACATATGCTACTAAAATAGGGGCTGATTAGCAAAGGTGAGTCAGTAAAATTTCAGTGCCTCTGCTAGAAAGAAAACACCATGCCTTTCTGAATCTCAGTACTATTATCTGGGTAAACAAAGACAGTGATCCCAGCCAGCTCTTTCCACATGAAACAGGAAATGGGATTTGAGCAAGATGGTACAGTGAAATGAGCTATTATTAAAAGGCTATCTGATTCTCCCAGTTCTGCCACCAACTGACTAGGTGACATTGGGGAAATAATTCAATATTCTGGGCCTCAACTTCATCTGTAAAACAGGCTTCAGTAAGATGATCTCCAGAGTCTCTTTTAGATCTATCATTGTGAATCTGATAGCATCAAGACTGCAGTATTCAAAGAACCTCCCTAGGAAGGTGCAGGATGGTCCTTGGTAAGACTTGCTCAGTGCATGTCTATTGGATTGCAGTAAATCCTTGAGGGACAAATGAGTAAGATATGGAATACTGGAGAGGATCTACTAGGGCATAAGAGGGAGCAGCATAACTATGGTGTGTATGCAGAAATAACCACGTGGTACCTGAAGCAGAAGATGCATGTCTCTCTAAGAGTGTAGGAAAGAGTGTGGTCCGCATAGAATGGCTAGACTGTGTCTTTTCTTACCTCTAGCTAATTATCCATACAACAGTTTTTACCTTAACACAAAATCAAAAAAAAGAAAAATATGATAGTTCCATATTGTTACTTCAAGGAAATTCCCAAACCCTTACCTAGTAAACATAATGTGTGCATGCCATTTTGTCTGTTCTTCTTCACTTTGTCAAAGAAGCTTTCTGGTCTCCAAGTGTCTGTCCAAAAAACAATAGAAACTGTCTCTCCAAACTTATATAACTAGAAAAAAAAAAGCACATTAATTAATGATGGAACAATTCGCTACTATTTCATAGATAAGGAGAGAATTTAATCAATTTACAACCAAAATAAAACATGAAAACCCAACTTGAAATAGGTTGGGGATCAAATCTGTCACCAAAAAACGTAACAGGAACTTCTCTTTGGTTCATGGTAACTGGTGTCTTTCTGACGCCAGTAGTAGGTAAATTTCAGTAATAAGTTTCTAGTATTTCTGCATTCTGTATAGGAACATGTATAACAATTTCATAATTTAGCTATATAGTGTTACTAAAAATACTGAAATGCAAAGAACCCAGGAGAAAAAAAAAAGAGTTCTGAGCAATCAGAGCAGGGTTCACAAAGTTAATATTGTTCTCATTTTACAGATGAGACCATCAAGGCTTAGAAAGATCAACTGACTTAGCTAGTCATATAGCTAACTAATATAAAAACAAATACTTAAATCTAGTCTGAGGGAATGCTCCTTTTCATCACACTATCTCAATAAAACCAAGTATATACTCACTCCTGCCATTGTTCCAAACCTACAGTCCCTTAATTTGGCAAGATTCTATTTGTTCCTTCACTACAGAGTTCAGGGGTGAGGGCCTTTTTCCAAACCTCCTCTTTAACCCTCATGTGGCCTACCCCACTTCACCATCACTACAACCAAGAAGCTTGCTTCTCTGATCCAGACTGGCTGAACTAGTTCACTTAAGTAAGTCCAATTTCAAATCTTACGCTGAGAAAATCTACTTTTGAATTCTGGCTCTGCAACTTGTTGGGTGTGTGATATTACCCTAAGACTTTATCTCTAAAATAGGAATAGTGATAAAATTCTGTTCTTCCTACTCCTCAGGTTGTGAGGATCATATTACATGTAAAAAGTTATTCAAACTGTGAAACAATAGGTTAATATTAGTTCTTATCTCAGCACTGAGCAAAGGATATTTATTTTCAAAGACTTAATATAAAACAGAATACTAAAGTTGTATAAAGATTTCATTATTCAATTTAAATAGTACTTGAAATAATTTATAATAGAACTGGTAAGCACTAGACTCTGAAAGTCCCATCTAGTCCTCTGCCACAAATTAACTGTGTGCCTGAAATAGCCGTGTGACTTCAGGAAGTCACTTTTCTCAGCCTTGGGTTCTTCATTTAAAAATGCAGAAACTGGTCTGGAGCAAGGATTAGTCATCCTCTGCTTCCAGTAGCCTAAGGCTTGTCAAATCAGTTTCAGAGGCTCCGCAAGAGATGAGGGGAAGACAGGCAGGAAGGAAACAGAGAAAGTGGGGCATTCAGGTGCTTCATCCTTAATTCCCTAGAGCAGCTCGACGTTTCTCAGTTTTTACATAATGAGGTCCTATAAACTATAATCAATACTCATAATGGTGACTTTGAGTTCTAAAGGGAAGGCTCATCATGTTCCTCATAGGCCACAGTCTACATCTTACCTACCAACAAGCTTTACTCCAAAGTCCATTTGAAAGCTGCCTAAAAACGTATTCTCTCATAGAAGTTATGCTATTCAGTAGCAATCGAATTCACAGGTCAGTGTACCAAGATGTACCAAGACCCATGTAACTCCAAATATTCAGTCATGAAACTTCCTGCCACATGTGACAAGGTTTCTCTGTAACAAATGTATTTCTGGTTCCAATGTGGAATGCCAGGAATATGTTCACTCTGTGCCAAGCTACCAGGAATGGTCCGGGCCCTGCTGAGAGGTTCCATTATTACTATTAGGTGATGAGAGGCAAACTTAGCCAACATATACTTGTTACAGATCATCTACTATGTACCAGGTATTATGCTAGTCACAGGTTTAAAATGACAGGCAAAACATAGCTCCGGCTCTCATGGATTGTGCAGTCTTGCTCATGTCTCATACAGCAGGGAAAGGCTCTGCAGTCATGGCACTGGTTCTTATTATGATTAATCACGGACAAGTCAAGTAATGTTCCCAAGCCTTGGGAGGAACCCTTCTACAAAATGGGTATAATAACTGTAAACATAAAAATGTGGTTTTTTAGGGTTGAATGACACAAAGTATGCAGAGTGCCTAGTAGTGCCTTGCACATGGAAAAGTCTCAGTGTTAGGAATTTGATGATATAATAATGATAATGTTTTAATAATGATGATGTTCTAAAATGCGGTGCCCTGCTATAATCCAATTGCTTTTCTTATTGGAGTAAGCTCAAAAATATTATTAAATATTTGAAACTACATTTATGATTTCATTCTGACAAGTTCAACTGTTCACATTCTAAAAAGGATTTTTCACATCTCTGATCAAATTATGAAATATTAGTATTATTCCATAAAAAAACTTCAAGGTAAAATTGTTAAAAAATTATATATGCAATAATACATACTTTAAATGAGTCTTAAATACTTTAAGAGTCATGGGAATACAGTCATGGAAGGAAATAAGTTCTTCATTCAAAAAGAAAGTAATAGACCACTTAAGAAAGAACTGAGATGCAAGTCACATATAAACACTATCTAAAGCATTTTTTGCAGCAGTGTCTTTGAATTGTCTAATTTGAGAGATTAAAGAAAACCTCACACAAGCACTGCTCTCCAGGACCCTGATTTATAAACTGTAACCACTCCTATAGCTGTGGTGCAAACTTCTTCAGTGAATCCTGGAATATTATGCAAACAATTTCACCATATGTCAATACCTCAAAGAACAAAAGAACCAGTTCTTTGTGTTTCACAATCCAAGGGCTCACCAGTGAACTATACTAGAGCAAAATCACACAGTGATGAGAACTGAGATTGCAGAAGCCTAAGTATTGAGCCATCCTATAATACTAATATAAACCTTTGTGCTGTAATCACTTTTCCTCCAAAACATTATCTGCAAATCTAAATTTAAAGACTACAGAAACAGCTGTTTTATAAGAAACAGTAGGTAAACACAGGCCTTTTTAAATTTTAACCTGGAGTAACCTATAGAGAAAGCAGTTTACCTAACTTATATTGGATTATGTTTTATCTAAGACAAAAACCAAAAAAACTCAACTGAAAACATCCACTTATTAGGCATAAGGCACAATCTAGTCAGAAGATGCACAAGAAAGACAATAGCAGGTAGTAATAATTATTATTAAATATGCTATAGACTCTATGCATTATAAGAATTCAGCATTTCCCCCACTCAGAGGGCATCTGAAGGCATCTTCTGAAAATACAAGGTGTAAGCTACACCTTGAAAGACAGTTAAGATTTAAGACTGGAGAAGCCAAACATGGGGAAAGAATGAGATACTATGAACAAAGTAACAGAGGTGGGAAGTCTTGGGCAATATTTAGAATGGCATTAAGCAATTACCTAGAAATAGCTAACTGTACCTGACTTCTCTCTAAACATACATCTAATTCCTGACATCTTATTTAGTGCCAATTCCTGTAAATTCTGCTGTATAATTTATGTAGCTGACTAGTCATTTCTTTTCCTACAACTATGGTTTGAGCCCTCAATGTCACTTGCCTGAATAACCTTAACAGTCTCCTAACTCATCTCATAGCCATCAATATTTCTTTCCTTTTAGAAGCACAGATGCTTTGTAAAACTCCATTTTAGATTTCAATGCTTTTGTTATTTTGTATAATAAAAATATTTTCTGTGGTATTTAAGTTAAAAAATCTGTTAAATTAAGAAAAATTAAACTTGCTAAAAACTCTATTAAGCCCTGCAAGTATCATATATTTATATCCTAAATTAAATCAGTGAAATCTGTGAAGTGAAAGAAAGCCAAGCCAGCAAAACTGTCAAAAAATGTACCACAAAATCACATAATCAAGAGTGATTAGTTTTCTCTTCTATACAGAATCCTGGTCTTGGGGTTGGGTTTTGTTTGTTGTTGTTTTTATCCCCACATACAATCTGCTTACCACTGATATAACACTGATTTTTGATGACACTAAGAAAGAGTATGCACATGGCCACACACTAGGTACATAAAGTTGAATGACTATGTAGACAGAAGAGCTACAGGATTTATAATGAGAGCCATTTGTAAATTAAATTTTAAAATGACAATTTAGAGCATATAATTTCAAAGACAAGATCGAACTCCATGGTGGAAGGCAGGGGGTTGGGGGAAAAAAATAAATAAGAAATTCAACCCAGCAAGTACTTGTTACATATTGATTATATGCATGGCACTGTGATAGACTGTAACGGCAGACAGGAAAATCAGTAAATCAAAGCGTTTATAATATAAAATCATAAACATATATAACATGGCTTGGGTGTGCCCCCACCCAAATCTCATCTTGTGGTTCCCATAATCCCCACATGTTGTGGGAGGGACCTGGTAGTGGGAAGGTGAAGAGGGGGGCAGTTACCTCCATGCTGTTCTCGTGATATTGAGTTCTCACGAGATCTGATGGTTTCATAAGGGGCTTCCCCCCTCTTTACTCTGCACATCTCCTTGCTGCTGTCATGAGAAGAAGGCTGTGTTTGCTTCGCCTACAGCCATAATTGTAAGTGTTCTGAGGCCTCCCCAGCCATGCTGAACTGTGACTCAATTAAACTTCACAGTTTATTGACCTCAAAGTCAATTTAACCTCAAAATTGAGTCAAAATTGACCTCAAAGTCAATTTTCCAGTCTTGGGTATGTCTTTATGAGAAGCATGAGAATGGACTAATACAACATACAAGTAACTGAACATTCTATATAGGATGGGGATTAATTTACCAAAATTGTTTTAATAGAAGAATGGCACAATTAGATTTACAATTTAAAAAGAAAACTATGAAGTAGGAAAAAAATGATGGTAAGGTGGCTATTTAAAAAAATAATGATTAGAACCAGTAATAAGTGGAAACAAAAAGGAAGAAAAAAAATTAAGTATGCTCATGACTTAGCAGGTAGTCAAAAACTGTTGCTAAGTGACTAAAAGAATAGAAAGAGCTTAGATTGTTTTCTTCTAAGACCACAGAAGGATGTAGAACTCTAGGTGATAAAACCTAGCTTAA